GAAATCCTGAAATATTAAATCAGATTGCAAATCAGGAGTTATGTAAAGTTGCCGATTGGCTTAGAGCTAGCCAGCTTTCTTTAAATATTAGCAAAACTCACTTTATTATTTTTTAAAACTGGCACAAAAAGAAACCTAGCAACTTTGAAATTAAAATCAATAAAGAAACTTTTGAACAAGTCAAAAGTACAAGGTTTTCGGGATTAATAACAGACAAAGAACTATCTTGGAAACAACATATTAAAAAGGTGGAAACTAAAATATCAAGAATGTCAGGTATAATGATCAGAGCAACGTATTATATATCTTTAAGGACATTGTATACCATATATAGCACGTTCATCTATCCGTACTTGACATATTATTCATTCAAAATATTTCTCCGTTTCTGATTGGCGAAAATCACACGCATAATTCATCATCATAACCAGTTACTGTTGATCAAATTTGGAAGAATTTTGCCATATTGAACCGATGACGTCAGAAGTGCAGCGACGTTGCAGATTATTGAACCTTTAACCAAGAAGACCTGGGGACGAGTTTGACTTGTTTTCAAAGTGAGTGATGGCGAAGTGCGTAATGGCGGAACATTTTAGTTGTTTCACGGCGAAAAAAACATAGCAAGAACAGCAAGACGATAAGTTCACGGACGGCATCTGCTATTTGGGGATTCTTTGCAGACCTGAACAGCCATTTATATCCTAAACTTCCCGATAAAGATGCACTATCGATATGAACTATATAAATATGACCGGGGCCCCTCCTTATCTCAGCATCTGGATGACTCCCCAACCCGCCACCCCCCGTTAAAATAAGCAAGTTGTTTTCAGACTGAAAAACTGACATTGAACCATGTTCTTGATATATAACAAACATGAGACATCAGCATTTTAATGATTAATATTTTGATGAAACACCGTTTTGGGGATGACTGAGATATTATCTGTTCATTTAAACAAAGAGGCTTCAAATGTATTTCTTTATGATGCAAAAATAGCCCCTGAAACAGTTATCAGAAAAACTGTTAAAACAGGCATAAATGACATGAAAGTGTTTAAACTAAAATCCCATGTAGTTCTGAAAGAGTTAGAGGAAAAGGTTCACGGTTAAGTGCATGCTCATTAATTAAATTACTTTTTTCAATTTTTTATTAATTCTGTCGGTTAATAATCCCACTCACATGTAGCTCAGCGATCTGAGAGTGTATTTCAAAGTAGAAATGTATTTCAGAGTAACCTGAAGTCACGAAGGTTTTATTCCATGATTGATTAATTTAAAGCTATTTGGAAATATTTAAGTTGATTAAGTGCATAGACAATACAGCATGTCCCGGCAGAAAAAACAGCATTTTGATAAATGAGCATGCGCTGATCGAGCCGCGAACCTGTCCCTTTAGTTTTGGTTAATTTTCCTTGCATGAGATCAGGCCTCGATTAATATTGTTTCAAGCGAACAGTTACACCTTGTGACGACTTTTTTCATCCACAAACCAATTTAGTTAATCAGGCAGTTACAGATAGATAGATAGATAGATAGATAGATAGAAACTTTATTAAAGTGTCAAAAGCCGTCTAGCCAGGGAAAGGTGCGCTTCCTCTGCACCTTCTCCCTAGATCCGCCCCAGGACGGGCATATCAGTCTTTAATTTGTGACCAACTGATTGGAAAATGAAATCTTGAGTATATTAGAAGCATACTTTTATTGAGCAGTATAAGCATTTATTTAGCCATTAAGTTGTTTTGAAACTTAGTGATTACTGATGCCATAAAATACATCGTATTGCGGATACAAAGTGAATAATACAAAACGACTTGTTTTAGGTGAATGATGATCATATGTATATGGTCAACGTCAGTACGCCGCCAAGTATAGATTCATGGAGGATATTTCATCGATACTTTCGCCACCAATGTGACCATAAAAAAAACGGTATTCCATCTCTCTACTGACGTTAGAAACTTATTCAACTTGCCCCATCGTTTTGTCCTTCAAATGGTCAAAATGGATGGGGAATCGAGCGATTCATCTCACTATTTCCTTCACAATGTCGGAACACTATGAAAATCGAGGCATAACACAATCGAACGAGATGTAAATGAAATGGCCGAGTAATCAGTATTCTGCATTTTAGTTACTAACCTTTCAGCAGTATGGATCGTCGAGGTAAGAAGTTTTTAAAGCGCTGCAAAACAAGACATTTCCAATTCGCTGACGATGAAATCGAAAGAAGTGATCGAAAAAGAAAGAGACCCTGGAAACTAACTGTTAAGAATGTCGGTAACCAGAATGTGGACTGGACTAAAGAATTAACCTTATCACGGTTTTCCCCGCAATCTTGACGAGTAGGCAAACGCATGAAAAATTACAGTGTTTGTATGAGAATCTAATGTCGAATAATTTCCGTAAAACGGCCGTTCTGAAAAAATATCAATTGTAAACTAAAGCTACAAAGCAAAGGATTGTCCTAAAAAATTTGGGGGACGTACCTGTGCTTAAATTTCTCCAGAGGCTTGCTTTAAATTTTCTATATATTTGTCTGTAATTTTCCCGGGACTTTCTTACAGACAAATGTATGGAAAATTTTAAAAAGTGGTTCTAGGTCTTCTAGTGCATGTAACGCCCTCAAATTTTTTCAGGAGAATCCTTAGGAGTGAAGCTTTAGATTACAAATCATATTTTTTTCAGAAGAGCCGCTCTACGGAAATTATTCGACATTAGATTCCCATACAAACACTGTAATTTCTCATGCGTTTGCCTACTCGTCAAGACGGCGTCGAAAACCGTGACAAGATCTATTGTCACAGTAGACTTCTTGCAGTCCTCCTTTCTCTTAAAATCCATCTAGTTCTTATCTCAGCCAGCGCGACTGCAAGTTACAGTAATATACCTGCCAACTCTCACGCCTGCGGGTTGAAAACTTCGATCTCACGCCCGCTCACGCCTGCGGACCAATTTCTCACGCCTGATTGAAAAATGTGAGTTGTTGCCGTCTTGCTTGACACAATTTCCAAAAATATGTTAACTCAGACCCATGTAAGGAACGAAAACCATGTGTAAAATGAATAAATGACAATACCTTCCTCGCGATCTCTGATTTTGTGGATAAGCGTTTTCTCGATAACTTCGCCTTCGGCAGACTTCGGACGTCTTCGGGAATCTTCGGAAATGATCGTGTCGTTTTCAAAAATCCCCGCACTCCCAGGATAAAAATCTCACGCCTACATCTCAGAAAAAGTTGGCAGGTATACAGTAAGGGATTAGGACCAGACGAGAAAGGGCGGTCTCCTGTTTTTACTTCTCGGGCTTATGCACTTATCAATTGAAACCCCGACCCCCCCCACCCCGGGCCAAGGTGGGGATTTGACTTGACATCATTACAAATCTTAGCAAACTCCCACCCTACTGGGGCATATTGACTGGTAAAACCCCCACCCAGGTGGGGAAACCTTTTTAATTCCCTGACTGACTTTATTAATATTTCGTTCGAATTTTCAACTTCTTAATATTGACAAATTTACTACAGCAAAAAGGCAAATATGACAACAGACCAAGATATAAATACAACAAATATTTGACAATAAGTAAACATAATGACCCCTAACCACTTATAAAAAAGTCAGGGTACAAAATGGATGATGGAGTAGCACATTGCTATAAAGTTATATTAAAAGGAAATCCGTACCATCTCCATTGAAAGTAATATCTGCAATGATAATTTTAATTGAAAATAGCAGCCAACATACCTTAACCTTCACAAGCTGATGTTATAAATAGACTGCATAAAATAGTTCCTAATAGGAGCTATATTTTTTATTTTGGCTTAAAGAATGAGGAAATATAGAACTTCAGAAACCACATGGGTTTAACACTAGACGTTAATAAACGAGCTGTGTCATGAAATTTACCAAAATGTAGGCTGTGGGAACTGCCACCAAATTGAGTGAAACATAAAAATAGCCGCTTAAGACATTAAAAGATGGTATAAATGACTCAGCAAATACAAAAGAAGGTACAGATGGGAAAACATGAAGAAGATTAAAACGGATTGAAATTTTGGTTTTTGAAAACTTGTTAACCTAACAGTTTTTCAAAGTTCATTGTTTTTGTCCGTAACGCTTGATATGCTTGGGAGAAACATCTGTTTAAAACGAAGCTTTGATTTCTTCATTTCTTTGCCAACGTAACGCACAAAAGCGAATAGGGACCACGTAACTGGCAATATTAACAAAATGAACCAGATAGCCGTGACACAGCACCTTTTATAATAAGTAGAGGAGTTTGTATCTGCATTGTTTGAGAAGTTTTGAATAACAATAACAATTTCCAGTCAACGAACCATGAAAGCTCAAGGCAAAATCGCAAAGGATTAGTCTCAGTGAAGAAATGAAAGGAAAAACAATTAGGAAACTTACGGCCGAGCAATACATCAAAATACCAGTGATCACGTGAAGAAATTACCGTGAGGAAACTAGGCACGAGTCAAATCCCCACCTCGCTCCCCGACTTCCATGGACTTCCATGAATATGCTAAGCAAATCCTGAGAAATCCCCACCCCACGGGCTAACCATGCCTTCAAATACCATAAAAATCCCCACATTGCCCCCCATAGGCCCGGGGTGGGGGTCGGGGTTTCAATTGATAAGTGCATTACGCACTCGTTTATCGCGCCGCTTGCGGCTTCGCCGCTCGCGTGCTTTTGGGTTTTGCGTGAAGTAACTTTGTAAAGAAAAATAAGAGACTGCTCGCAGTTTAAACATAACAACCCCCAAAATAGCCCCTTGCGACGAACTCATACTAGATATTTTTTTAGGGAATTATTAAGCTAATCCATTGTAGCCCAGAGCAAACTACCATTTATCAAAAAGAAGAGAACGGGTATCCGCAGAATCCGAGCAACCGACGTCGAGGACACGACAAAGGGACCTGGTAACTCTTTCCCAGCTCCCCCATTTGAAATGGCGAGGGAAAAACAATACATGGCGATTTATCGAAACTTCGTTCGATCTTGAATGCTACCTACACTAATTCATTAATTCAGCTGGCAAAACGAAAATTCCTGGTGTTGTGAGCGGGATAATTCTTCAGAGCGTAAGTTTTGTTAATTTGAACTTTCAGAGACAGCGGGAGGGCTATTCGCTTCAGCTTACAAAAATATATATAAATGATTTATCGCGTGATGATCAAATGGTGTAAGAGCATTTTCCACTAGCAGCTAAATACAGGAATTGCACCGACCTGTGATTGGAAGATAAAAATAGTATGTCAGTGGCGATGACGTGACAATTCGTTACGTTAGCCGTTTCAAGAGTAATGGTTTTTACACGAAAAAGACAGTCCACAGGAAAATACAATAAAATATTAAATATTTCTCAAAGACAAACGGTGCAGTATTCTTTTGAAGTCGGCTGACTAGCTCGCTAAGAGTCAATGTCCTATCGAAGTTGAAGTTCAACTGTCGCAAATCGGATAACTTCACTGAGTGATTCTGAGATGAAACCTTTTGTCTGCATCCACATTGATCTTAGATTTTACCACTTACATATTGAAGAAAAGCCATAAACAGAGCTTCAATGTCCACGTACACCCCGACTGAACCTCGGTGCGATTCCTGCAGATACCGCTGTTCATACTAAATGCAGGAATTGCACCGGACGCGTTCTCGTCCCCAGAGTCACTCTAAGTTGTAACAAAAGAGCACGTGACCAAGAAAGACGGGCTCTGGGAACGAGAATACACTGGACGCTCATTGGTCGAATGCGCAACTTGGCATAAATTAAATAGCCGCGGGAAACTTTAATTGATTTTCTCGCGTTTTGATTTTCGCTTGATAGGACAAGACTTAGGCCACTGGAAATAACACATCACTTGTATTCGAAGTTAAATTATACTGAAGCAGGGGTTATAGGATCCTGACTAAAGGTCATCTAAACCTCGGGCTGATTGTTCTTTGCCTTTTTTTCTTTTACTGCTTGACTTTACAAGTGTAACATGCTCTCCTTGGTGAGTATATCGAATCTGAAATACCTCAGCAATGTAAAAATAATGGTCACCTAAACAGCCTGGTTAAATCCCATCATGTCCTTTGGAAGAAACAAAAATCCCCTTTTCAGCAAACCGAATAATCATTGCGTTTCAGCACGTAGCTGCGAGGAACATTTGACCTGCCACAGGGGGTGGGTGGGTGGGGTTGAGTTTTCGCAGAAAAAAGTCTGTGGAGAAACTAAAGACGAGTCAATGCTTGTTTTAAGCTAATAGAGTTACATGTCATGTTCACTCGCAAAATTTAGGGAAAAGGCGGTCCACCTGTAAGAGTTTGCTGAAATTAGCTCTTGTATTTACACTTTGTGTACCTGTGGATAACATTTCTACATTGATTTATATTTTTTATTCATTTTTTTTTGGGGGGGGGGGGTGGAGGGAGTTGAGGGCAGTCAATGACTAAACACTCATCTGAATGAATCTGAACTCTATTCCATGCAGGCTGGTGACTGGCAAAAGTGCAGTAGGCAAGTAACCTCTTCTGCCCTTACCAGCCATACCAGGAGAGAGGCCTTTGAATTCAATTTACCCCCCACAAAATCCCCTCGAAATGCTGATGGTGATGTTGTTGTGTCAGATTCTCCAAGAATTACAACAAACCCCTTTTCATTGAAAACAATACCACCGTTTAGTCTGTTAACAACATGGGATAAGCAGCTAAGCTTCTGGCAGAAAGAAGAGAAGGGTTACTATTATCTGCAGCATGGCTCCCAATGTTTTGGCATATCTGATGTTAAAGATATGTTAAAAGTACATTATGCAAGGGATCTACAAAGGGCCGTCCAAGCAGAATTAAACTGGTTTTCAGAACCATACATTAAACCACTGACTGTCCAAATGTATCCTCCAGAAAGTTCCATAAAGAAATTTCAGGAAATTCTATACTTGAATCCTTTTGATTATATTATTCCAAACTATGACATGACACCAAATGAAGTGGCTTTCTCTGTGTCACACGATGGGTTTTAAGTGACCTTCTTGACAGTATTTACACACATATGTACTGTTTCATGCACTCAAAAACTGTTTAATTTGGTTTCTGTACATTTGAAATCTTCTGTTTGTTTTAAATTTGCTTTTTGTTTTGCAAAACTACTACCAGGGATAATCAACTTTTGCCGGCTGTGAAATATAGCCCCAAGCTGTGAGCATGAATGTCTGGCTTTCTTAGCATTATATAAATCATTGCCGAAATGTTATCTAGGTAACAGATATATACGTTGGCTAGTTTATACATAAGCTTAATATATGTATGTTGTGGTTCAATTTTGTCCTTGGTTTATATTTTCCTTTGTTTTTGTGTATGGTAATCTATGATAATGAGTTTACAATAAAGGAAACTAAAATTTAAACCAAGGATCAAATTGAACCACAACATATACACTTATATAAACAAACTGTGTTATTTTTTCCTTTAAATTATTAATAACAAACAATAAATGCGTTGTTCCAGGAAATATCCATACTCCCTCCAAGGATGGTATTTTCCTTGGGATGCCCCCCACCATTCGGGAAATTCCAGGTTAATTTCATACTTTTCTTTTAAAAATCTTGGTTTTCAAACCCCCTCCCTTCAGAATTTTCCTTGGGGTTGGTGGGTATGTTTATTTTCTGGAACCACACAATCCAAATAAATTACACTAGCCTTTTTGAGGGAGAAACTCCTGTATAAAAGTTACAGGGATTGCTTGTCTTCTAACTTATCAAGTTGTCTCATCTCAGTAAAGGCATAGAAATACACAGAATTTGATCTCACTTAATTGGTATGTTTATATTGGGGTGGAAAGTCAGTAAATATAGAAATATCCATTTACAAAAGCCCTGCACATACTTTACTGCTAACAGTGTTGAAGTGGACTCCTCGAGGGGTCAAAGAAAGTCTTTGGTACACTAAATTTTCTAATGAGCCGCCCTGTGCCTATTGTATAGGAATCCCCCACCGGCACACTAGCTACAAAGTTAAATAAAAAGTTATGTCGCTTACACAGTTGTTCCCTGTGATTCCCTGGTACCTCTATTTTGTGTTCCCAATAGAAACTTTAGCATGATTCATTGCATGCCCTCCAACAACAGTATTAATTTTTTTAATACAGACCTTTGTCGCAAGACTATATTGAAAAGGGATCGATGTCTTGTCGCGGTTTCAAAAAAAAAAACTCTGGGGACGAGAACGCGTCCGGTGCAATTCCTGCATTTAGTTTGAACAGCGGTATCTGCAGGAATCGCACCGAGGTTCAGTCGGGTGTACGTGGACATTGAAGCTCTGTTTATGGCTTTTCTTCAATATGTAAGTGGTAAAATCTAAGATCAATGTGGATGCAGACAAAAGGTTTCATCTCAGAATCACTCAGTGAAGTTATCCGATTTGCGACAGTTGAACTTCAACTTCGATAAGACACTCTTAGCGAGTCAGCCGACTTTAAAAGAATACTGCACTGTTTGTCTTTGAGAAATATTTAATATTTTATTGTATTTTCCTGTGGACTGTCTTTTTCGTGTAAAAACCATTACTCTTGAAACGGCTAACGTAACGAATTGTCACGTCATCGTCACTGAAATACTATTTTTATCTTCCAATCACAGGTCGGTGCAATTCCTGTATTTAGCTGCTAGTCATTTTCCAGACTTAAATAATCCTCCTTCTATGTTTTGGAAAATACTAGTCATAACAACATGGAGGAACAAGTATCTGAGGCAAAAGAGATGTTGTCATCCAAAGACTCACAGCAAAAAGAAGAAGCAGTGAAAATTTTAATTGCAATCTCAAGGCAGGGAAGGAACAAGGAGGCTACAGATCTTTTAGCTAAATGCCTGGAAGAGAGACAGGGAATCACACCAGAGACTGAAGATGATGTCAAGTGGTGTGTGAAGATTGCAGAAGAGGAAAAAAGACTTAGATATGCGGTTGAACAGCTTTATAATTCTGTGAAGAAAGATGGCGAAGACAAAGTGGCTATACAGGATATTGATGAGGCTATGAAAAGGGCAAAGGAAAAACAGAAGGTTGGTTACAATTAAATGGCATCACCATGAATGAAACTATTGCTATTAGTGAAATGTCTGGTCAAATCATGCCCGTGCACTGCCACTTGACCATGGCTAGGGCACTAAAAGGAAATGATATCCCAATTTTTGGTAGCCTCCCATGCAGAAGTTCTTGGGGGGTTTGTCATGCGTTCCTGGGAACGCGTGACAAACCCCTAAGAACAATTGCATGGGAGGCTAACTTTTTGGAACATATGCAGGGCTGTCAACCTCTCACATCATAATGCATGGCAGGTGAGGTCATTTGTGAAAAAAAAAGTGTGAAAAACATGTTGTTGGAATTGTAACATTTGACCTAATTGGTTTACTTCCCACCAATCACATTATTGCTTATATTACAATGGCATACCTGAGTTTGTGAGGAAACCTTCCATGTTGACAGTAAGACAGCTGAAACAACGCAAAATATTTGAAATTTCGTTGTCAGAAAGTCGAATATACAAGAAATGGCAAACTTTGGCGATTACATGGGAGATTTCAGACTCTAATCTGGAAACCGGGAGAAACGGTTCAAAATCTGGAGTCTCCCAGATTATCCGGGAGAGTTGAAAGCCCTGTGTTTGAGGATCATTAGTTAGTATATAGTATCCTGCCACTTGCATTCAGTTTGGCGTGTCAGGAGGAATTGGTGGGCACCTGTACCCACTGTTCAGTCGGGATTTTAAAACCTTAATTAATACCCATGCACATAACAGCTCACCGTAAAAACTCCTTGCTACAGGTCCATGAGCAACAGCTTGATAAATTTGTCAATATACATGGTGGTGAAAATAATTAAAATTAAATGAAAGGAGATAGATCTGACTAAGGAGATACATGTAGAGACAACTTTTGCAGTTGCGAAAAAAAAAAATTTAATACTCTTTGAGAAATTTTAAATTTTGTACCCTTTTAATAGACCCTAGCTCCTAAGACAATGACCCTAAATAATGCATGTTTAGCATCCAGGGCGAGGTTGTTCAAAGCTGGGTTAAAAGATAAACCAGGGTTAGTGTGAAATTTTTTTCCAGATATGAAAGCTTTAAAGACAAATTCAGTTTAATTCTTTTTGTCTTCAAATTGATGATTGGCTACTCTAGAAAAATAGAGAAAATTATGTGAGAAAATACTTTCGGGAAAAAGGAAAAGAAACTCAGATAATTTAAATTGAACCCCAAGTTTGTGCTAATCAGCCTTTAAATGACTAGGTCCAGTATGATTATTGTTTATTTAATGAAAGGAAACAGACACCCAAGAAGCAAATAACAGTCCTGAAAAGGAGAATAAAGAAGTGAGTGAGGACTGATGAGCTTGCTGATCAATGCTTTGACTGTTGGCGAAAAAGATGAGTTCACTCTGGCTGAACTAAAGGACACAGTGATGGCATATGCCAGAGGGGAAGTCCCTGAAGTAGTAACATTGCTGAGTAAGGAAGACATGGATAAATTCAATAAGGCCTCCGTACTGGAAAAGGTACTGCACTGTGTACTAAGTTAAAACTGTCTACTAAGTTGAAAAAAGAAAAAGGTTGCAGTATTCAATTTGTTCACTCTTTTTAAGCTATAAAACTGGGTTACAATTTTAAAACTAGGCTCAGGTATAAAATTTGCATATTTCTTTTGGTGCTCCCTAAAATAAAAACCCCATTTATTTAGGCCTCTTTCCACCCCCCTCCTTCCCAATCTCAAGATGCTACTGGGTCCTTCCCTTACAAGGCCCCATCAAGAAGAATTTTGTCTACCATCTGGATTTGATCTGCGGCTCTGTTTTGGTTCCTTTCAAACCTGCATTATAATTTTGCATGTACTTTTTTCGCAAAAGAAAGATGACCATCACAGTATCTACAGTGTATGAACTTTTCTTAAATAACAATAAATTATTTGTTAAGAAAAAAAGGAAAAAATTCATTATGAAAGTTAATATTTGATGAAATTTCTAGAGAGCTGGCACAACAGCTTTATTTGTATTATTTGAAGAAAAGATTTGCAGCAAAGCCAGTTGGTACAGCAATCATGCCAATAGCTACTCCCAAGTAATCATCCAATTAAAGGGAATCATATAACAGGCAAATTAAAAATGAGTAATTAGCACATTGGAACCATGGTGTGGTCAACCTGACAGTTTGGGTAGATAAATAAGGGATTTTATATCACCTCACTTGACATGTTATCAAGAGTTGGCTGTGCTGATGACAGTAAAATTAAATGAATAAAAAACATACACTGATTTATGTCATCAACTAGGGAGGTGCTGACATTTGATGTCAAGAAGAAATGTTGTTGATGTTGTGGTTCAATTTTTTAATCCGTGGTTTAATTTTTGTTGATCAAATCATTACCATACATTACCACACCCAAAAAATAAAATAAAATAAATTTAAACTAAGGATAAAATTGAACCACAAAATCTACCTGACAGTGTTTATTTGAGCTTGGACTTTGACTTTAGGGGATTGATGAAGTGAAACATTGTTTGCAGAACTGCCCGCATATGAGCTATCAATACCTCTCTAAAATGTCCTGACATGCACTATATGAATTTTGATTTGTTGCCAAACTTGATTTAGATGTTTTCTTTTGTATAACCAGGTCATGAAATATCCAGATCAGTCCCTGGAATCTGCAAAGCACTTCATCCTTGTAAAGATTTCTAAGAAAGGATCCACCTTCTTGAAGTCCTTGATTCCAACCTCCCAAATCCAAATGCTAGTTTTACTGTATGTTTACAGCCAAGTGACTGCAGTCTTCCTCTGGTTTATAATTCCCTTGATTATTTTCTACATCTGCTTTTTGTCACTGGTAGTGTTTTCTCTCCAAATGTTTTATGGAAGGGAAGCCTTGAGACAACTGAGAAGTGTGTCAGAGCTAATGAAAAAGTATGTAATCTGTTTATTAATTTTTGCTTATGGCAGTAGGCGGGTATACTCCTTGAAAATTTGGGTGGGGTTGTGCAGCATGTGCTCTGAAACTCTAACCCTAGTCAAATTAAAATCTTTGATTTTGCCTGCAGAATTGTGGACCTCAGAACAGCTCTCTTTAGTAGGTTAATTGAAAAAAAGACAAATTTAATCCTAGACCTTACCCTACTTGATTTAAAATTTTAGACCAAAAGGGGCTCAAAAACTGTACCCTATGGGGCTGCATATTCCTATAAAGCTTAAGGGAGTACCCCCCCCTCCCGCCTCTCTGAGATAGTAATGCATAATGTTTTAGGCCACCCAAGGCTTAAGCCCAGCTATATAGTCAGTAACAGAATGGTTTTGGTAGCCATGGAAGTCAATAGCTATTTTGGGATGAAGTATAAAAAATAAATAAATAAAAATTAATATAAAAATTAACTATTCCCTTGTTTCAGCTGGAATAGAAAATTGTGAACAGCCAGTTACCCCAAGGATTGGGGGAGGGGGCGGGGTGTATCTGGTGATAGAAGTGTTTGTGCAAGGGAAACCCAAAAATATAAGGCCCAACTAAGGCCACTACCAAATTAATTTCCCTCTGCAGCTAAGGCTGACCCTGTCTTATGTAAGATGCGGGGGGAAGTGTTGCTGGGGTGAACTCTAGAACTGGGTATTCTTACTTCGCCCCTCCCAAAATAGTTTCCCTCTGCAGCTCAGGTTGACCCCGTCTGATTTAAGATGTGGGGGGAAGTGTTGCTGGGGTGAAAAGGTAGATTCATGGGAACTCTAGAACTGGGTATCCTTACTTTGCCCCTCCCAAAGTAGGTTCCCTCTGCAGCTAAGGCTGACCCTGTCTGCTGTGGTTAGGATGGGGAAGTGCAAATAGGGTAGGAAGGGTGTTTGCATAGGCTCTTTAAAACCTGGTCTCTTTTTACACCCCTCAAAAAGTAGCTTCCCTCTGCAGCTAAGGCTGGTCTTGTCTTCTGTAAGAAGCGGGGATGTGCAATTGGGGTAAAACGGGGTTTGCAGAAGCACTTTAAAATATGGTCCCCTTGTTCTGCCTCTCCCAAAGTTCAGCGTCCTCCTTTCAGCTAGAGCATAGCCTTTTTTAGTGTATTTGTAAGGAACAAACAAAAACTATTGCGTGACTTTAAAATGCTGTGTAAAATTGTTATATCTTACTAGGTTTGACCCTCGACTGAACAGCAGTGAAGCCGAGAATAAGTTCATGTGGAACTCTGTGACTCCATACATTTCCTTCTTCACTGTTTTGTTGGTAACTGTGGCTGTGTTTCCACTTTGTGACAAACTCTGGATACCGTGTTCTGAACTGAGTTTGGTAGCTTTGTTCTTTACAGGTAAATGCTTGCCATCTCTCATGATAGTTTGTGTTGTAGATGTTTCTCAGGTACGCACAGGTAGCTACCCGCCTGCTTAGGCAAGGGGGATACTCCCTATAATGGTCAGTAAGAGGAGGCTCTGTCAGATAGGGATACCTTTCTCGGGCTTTAGGTACATTTTTGTATATGAAAGAGTAGGGATTTCACTTGCTGAAGTATTTCAAAAGGTTGGGAAATCTGTCATTTTGAGCTATAAAAAAACCGAAAAGGGCTACAGCGTTCAAACTTATAAGGTATGCAAAAGGGATACTATTTGTCAATAAAAGGTATACGAAAGGGGTACCTTTTCTGTTAAAAATGGTATACTAAACGGAGAGGCGTGGACCTCCGGGCAAAGCCTCCCCGTATAAAACTTTGTTGAGTGCTTACCCCACATGCTTGGCCCACATGTGAATGTAATGTTCAGAATTTCTATTGCGGCAGGGTTAGCTCAGCTGTAGCTGGGTACTGGCCCTTACTTCTCCCCAGTCTTTTCATCCTTGTCTCTTTTTTTAATACAAATGAGGGAAGTGCGTATGAGCTGCACGCGGAGGAGATGGAAGAAAGAAATACGGGAGAAGGGTAGTCTTTCCTTTCTCTTCTCCTTTCCGTCTTCTCCTTTGTCGAGGTGATCTGCAAGTCTCCCATGACCGCATGCAAACGATACTGAAGAGATGACTTAGGATGAATCAGGTGCTGGTCTGTGGAGCGTCAAGTCGCAAGTTTGATACCAAGCAACGGACCAATAGTTAGGGTCATTAAACTAGCAGTAATTAGGGATTAGTAAGTGACGTCGAATGTTGTAGGTAGAATAACGCACTTTCTGTACGCGTCAGAATAGTAAACAAGTTCTTGATCAAGCTTCGTTCTATTAGACCTACGAAATCTTAAAAACAGATTGCATTTACTTCCAAAAATTATTGAGTTTAAACTTACCGAGTAAAGGCAGAACCTGACGAGGAGCTAACGAAGAAAATGAACAGTGCAGACAAAGAAAACAAGCAAAGCTGCACGTGGAAGAAAAGACATGCGCGCGCTCCTTGCCCATTGAGTCTATGACGTATTTCCGGTACCAGAACGAACCAAAGAGTCGAGATTCTTTCTGCTAAATGCTTGTGCCCAGGCTTCTCGCGTTCAGTTTATGTTGCGTTCTTCCTGGCGTCGAACGCAATAACTGAGGAAGAAGGAATTGTCTTTGCTTTGGTTTTACTACCACTTAGAATTTGTGGTCCAGTCTCCATCGGGGAACCTAAAAACAGTCCTTTGTGCTATGTAACTTGTTGAATCCATGCTTGGAGAGCGCTTTTCCTTAGCTTATGCAGTTATAGACCACTCCATCTAATGATTCCATATGGTTACTAGTTTCTTCTTTAGAGGACTGCCGGATAAATACGATGACTTTGCACTGTACACAATTCTCCTCAAGTTGCTAGCCACCGGACTGTGTAGTTTGGGTAATGTGCGAGGACTGGCCTTCCTGTGCTACCCAATTTTTGTTGGTAAGGTAAAGTCATATCTCTGCAAAATTTTATTGTTTTTCAATTCTTTTATTTTATGGAAACACGAAAAGCGTTAATCCTATATTTAATGCGAAAACTCTTCGTTACGTGAATTGCAGAGTTCATCCCTCTGTGTCTGAATCTTAATAAAGCAGACACCAAGACCAAACATTTGGGCCATGTGCGGATTGGAAAAAAATGAATTATGAAGTTCTGGTTAGAAAGAAAAAGGGGCGAGAATGGGGGATGTGGCGAGCCTCCTTTCCATACCCTAATTAAAAAGCTTAGTTCCGTCAATTCATTTGATAAAGTTAAGGGGTTCAAGTGCGAAAGTTAGCCTCCACCAGAGCCAATTCACGAATTCCTGTCCTCGGACAGTCAATTGTTTGTAATTGTAATTGTAATTTTTCTACCATTGAAGCCCACCTAGAAGTTCCTAACAACTCGTTTAAACGTGTCCGCTCGTTCCAAATCAAATTGGTATAAGTGTATTGGAAGTGTTATATTTGGAAATGTATTTGAGGAGAGGAGAAAACCGGAGTTTCTAGTCAAAAACCCCCCGGAGCAAAGAAGAGAACCAAAAACAAACTTAACCCACATATGGCGGCGACGCCAGGATTTGAACCGAGGCCAGATTGGTGGGAGGCAAGTGTCCTCAAGTGCTCCCAAAGCTACCTTTATTACTTGCATGTACTTTGTAATCTTCTTTTTTCGTTCTCCGCAGTGCCCCTTCACTATGGATTGGAATTTGACATCAGTCTTCCATCCATTCTCCAAGTGGTATTTTTTGTCCTGCTTCTCATTATGGCGGGCCGTCACTCTTGGCGTGGAATGTATAAAGTACTTATTCCTTATTTGGTATGCCTGCTATGGTGGCAGCTTTTTACCGAATTGTTTCACTTCACGACCTGGAGCAGCTTGCTCCGCGCCACCCTTGGGTGGGCAATTTTTGTGACCACGCTACCTTTACTGATTCTGTTCACTGTTGGCCTGGCTGTGACGTATTTCGTGCAGTGGTTTATGACGCTTGATTTGGCATTCAAGCTTGCGGTCACAGCTGTAGTTGTAGCGTTTTCATCGGCTGTGTTTTACTACTCCAAGCTAGAGATTCCTCATGGAGAGAAACTCGAGCCCAAGAAAAAACTAATCATGATCTTGGGTTCGGTGGTTGCTAGCCTTTTGCTTCCCGTTGTTTACATCAATTTTGTCCCTTCGATATATGGCTCACCCAAAGCCCTGTTATGGAAGGAGTACTACAATTCCTGTGTCAGCATGACTAAGGGGATTGAAGTCAATATCGCAGCAGTGCAGATAAGATGCAATGAATTTCAAGGCGAGTCTGTCAACTGGACTGGAATTGTAGCTGATGTTAAGTTGAGCTCTGTAGAAAATCGCTTTCGTCCCTTGGTCACTTACCTCCCCCGGTTTTTGCAGCCTTCTCTGAAATGCCTTCTTGGAGAAGAGGAGAATAGAGGTGGAGACAGGTATGAGGGCAAATTTAAAACTTATTTGTATACAGATTTGGTTCCCGGGGTCTTTCAAAGAAACTTTGCTCTTTCGTTCTCTTTTAAGAGCTGTTCTAGAGTAAGCAGTGAATTAGTAGTATGCCTTCGGTATTGTGAATTGCATATGGTAAGCAACAGTTGTTTCCTAATATTACGAATTAAATTAATAGATCAACGTACTCGTATAAGAGAAAATCGTTACTTTTTTGGTAGTAACCATCACACCATTCGCTAGACCTGCGTGATAAAGGGAATTCTGCGCTGTTGTGTATCCAGGATTGTTCGATTATTGGGCGAGTTTAAACTCAGTTGATCAGGTCATACGATAACTTCTGAATCTTATAATAACAAAAATATTTATTCAAGTTCTTCAACAGAAACACATGATATAGAAAAACAAGAAAGAAAAAATAATGGCCTTAACGTATTGTTGTCGAGGTTGGCAACTGAAGATAGAGCAACGATGGCAGTTCCCTCTCGTTCGTAAAAATCTAGTTCAGGAGAACAGGAGAACCATAAAAAGTGACTTTATTACCTTCTTTCAGGCTCACGGAAGCACGCTGGTGGTTGCCAAAGGCTAAAGGACCGTGCCATTTAAGAACGTATGACAGGTACACTTTTTCTGTTGGGGTAAAGATGACTACTGATGCAGCATCACAGTACGAGGAAGTAGTTAGAGTGACTGTCACACACCGATTCTACCATACCATGGTGACATTACAAGAGAATACACAGGTATGATATAATTAGGGCTTGTCTTATTTTTTACATATTTGCCACAGGTCAGTAAATGGTCAGGAGAAAAATTCCAAGGTCAGAGAACAGTCAGGAACTTCACTTCGATCCAGCGAAAAATTTAAGTCTTTGAAAGACCTCAGGGAACAGTGAAATTTTAAGAGTACTTGTGTGTTTTCCCGTCTATTTTTACGGTGTAAAATTCTTTGGTATTGGTAGATTATTGTTCGTGAAATTGAACGACAAGCTGATGTATGGAATTTCAAGAAAATCAATCCTTTTTGCACGTTATGGTTTTAGGACTATCAATTCATGTACACTGCAAGTGACTTGCTGAAATCAAGTCGGTAAACTTATCAAGTCGGTAGACTTGATCTTTTTGAAGGGTCATGTAAGGCGTTTTCATGTGATGCCACAGCAGCCATGGTGTTCCAAAAGATTGAAAAGGAGGCCATGTTGGTGTCCAAAACGAATCCTGAGGAGGCTTTTTTTTGTTAACGCTTTCTTTTGTTCCAGTTAATTTGCATAGATGCTGGTCATGTGGGTGAAAATGCTCTAACTCACCCCATATTTCCAAAAAGTGTTACACAGGCATTTTAAGAAAGGAAATTGCTTTTTAAGAGCCTTATCGAAAAGAAAGGACCCATGGCCCTCAATGTTATCGGATGGAACGTTGGGGTGCTCTGCCTCTAAGCTATAGTTGACTGACCGATGGTGAAAGAGGGTAAAATTCGATATTGTATTGACAATATTTCACATAGAGTGACCCTCAACCCATTAAACAACGCCCCCAAGCGAAGAGGTACCTTATACAAGACACTCAAATTTTATTTTGATAGTCGGTTTGAATTCACTGTAATGAAATCCCGTTTTGTTGAATGATTCAGTGTCTCTTCTATGTAGTAGGTTCGTTTCTGATTCTCCATTACTAACCAACGTTACTTTCTATATCACAGATCACGTTCCAAGGCCGCTTGGCGAGTGGACCGCCTTACGTGACCGTCACGGCCAAGAGGCTCTTTATCAACGGCACCAAGGTTAAACCACGTATTGGGCTTGGGCGTGACGACATATTTGAAGGATTGCGTGACTCTGGTCGATTCATAACCCGGTTTTTTATGACGCCCTTGATTAACGAAAGAGACTATGATGAAGATGATGTGTGAATTATGACAGAGCGGGGCTTTCATACAGTACTTACAGGCTTCTCTTGGAAAAGCAAAGGGGCAGTTGGTGTGGAATTGTGTATTGTAAAGAACGATCATTTTCTAGTAATAAAGAGAATGGGATTAGTGTTTGGGATATAATTTATGGCACGTAATGAATATTTAAGTGATGTTTTCAATATGGAAAACGGCTACATCAAAAAAGCAAACAAGCTAGTCTAAGATGTTTTATGTTTGTAAAACATGGAGATTTAGAGCAGCAACAGCTTTGTCCAATATGAGGAAATCCGTGAATATTTGAAAAATTATAGTTTACTTGCTCGTGTTCACTACAAAGCGGACTTCATGTTGAAGACGTGTTTCTGTTTTAGAAACCGCTAGAAACTATTGTGAACAACATAGACATGAATAGAAATTAAGCCAGAAGGCCTAATCGTGAGTTGAGGGGCCTTTTACACCGCTGATAAATATGGATATGGAGCATTGTTGAGGCGATAAGTTGTATGCACGATCAGCTTTTTAAGTTTGACAGAAACTATCCGGCACAGAGACCAACGGCAATAAAGTGAGTCAAATCAAATTGGTAAAATGTTAGTTTGTGCTGATAAAGCTTTCAACTCTGATTAAAGTAACCTATACCAGATTCGTGTTAGCTTGACTGATGGTGAATTCACTGGATAATATCTTTAGTGGTCTCATGGATTCATTACAATGGCATGTCTATAACGAAGTGGGGGTTCAAAAGTTGATTCTGTTGGCTGGCTTCTAGAATAAGAAAGTGTTCATCGATTGGTTCATTTCAGAGCAAAAATAGCCTCAACAGCAGCCGAGATCCGTCCTTGCCTCAAATTCCTTGTGAGATTTGATTGCTAGATCTCCGTCATGTCGTGCAGGGCTATCATTGCTGGGGCTTTACGAATTTTGAGATCAGTATCTGTGCTTTGCATTCTAGGTCCGAGGCTCTTGCCCTTCACTGACGAAGTGTTGCACAGCTCGTTCAGATCGTGGAGGCCTTTCGGATTGAACATCATGTTTTATATTTTATTTGTAATTTAGATGTGAACGTACACACGCAGACGTAATGGGCTTGATCTTTACGTGCTATACTTCTTTAGTGGGTGAAGCCCTGTTCAGCTTGGTTAGATCGTGGTGGTCATTTAGACCGAAGAATATGTTTTATATTTTATTGCAATTTAGATACCAACGTACACACGCAGACGTGATGCGCTTAATCTTTATCTACTATACTACTTCACTGAGTGAAGCCCCGCACAGCTTGTTCAGATCGTGGAGGCCGTTCGGATTGGCCGTTATATATTAGCTGTGGTAAATTCGTCTCTGGTTTTGTTTTACCTAGGCAAAGAAGTCTGGGAAGGTCACACTACTGATATGAGCTCCCAAGGTTTTCACGCACAGTTGAATTTTTTGGAGCGTACATTCAAGAAAGCAAGATGCGTAGGGATCTAGCCGATCAAAGAGACGTTTCTTTCTTTTATCTCGCTGTTATTTCTTACGCTAATTCAACGTGCGAGGTGAAACAGGCGAAGATGTAGACAACTCGTATCCCAAAAATTTCTTTCAACGCGTGAGCTATGTCCGGATCTGTCATCAAGACCTTCGCCGATGAGCGTCTATTGGCTAGCAACCTCGGTATTTCTTTTTTCCCAATCGCTTTGGGATAGCTGTCAAGGGAAAGTCGATTGTTCTCGAGACATATCCAAGCCCCAGACGATGAAATTTCCCCGAGGTAAGTTACCTAGGGAAAGATCGGTCACACTTAAAAAATCAATTTTCCCTAAGTAAACTGTCAACAGGTCGAGTTTACCTAGGTAAAAAGTCTGTAGTGTGACCACAGCTATTATGTCCTATTGTAATAGACCCTTCCACGATTTTTTTCAACTTTTGACTGCCGAATTTTACAGACGTTTGTATGGTGGTGGGGGGGGGCAAGTTCGTGCCTCCCCACACCGTACAAACCTCTGTAACATTACGCGACCTTGTGGAGCAATATCTTAGCTCGCTTTTAACGTATCATCTTTAAGCTTGATAGGTTTCGTAATTTTAAGGCGCTCTTTCCAGCGTTGTCAATGGGTATTCGCTTACTGGTCTTTAAAAAAAACTTGAAAAAAACGTTGAAGAGTCTATTTAGATGCATATGCAGACATAATGGACTTAATCTTTACCTACTACACTTCTTTACTTAAAATGTTGGAGTAAATTGAGTAACTGTTGGCGGATCTATGCCTTCAAGTAAGTCAGGGGTGCGCCCACCCAGACTCTGAGAGAAGGGGGATTTGGACGAACTCATTTAGATTTTTTTGCTTGACCCTGTGGGGCTTGATTTGACTTACACGTAAGGTGGGGGCCTGGACCCCTTTCCTTGACCCACCACTGAATAGTAAACAAGCAGGTGTCTTCATTTTATTTAAAAATCGCGCCAAATACTCCCGCCCCAAAATCATATTCTTTATTTCTCACCATCTTTCCTTAGATGTTATACAGTGAAACGTCCAAACGTTGTTGATTGCCATTCAGTGCGTCTGATTAACACCCTGTTAGATGCTATTGGTGATTGTTACCACTTCACCGCCGCGAAGGCTGATAATTGATAAGTGAGAGCCTAATAATGTTTCTTCCTTTTGAGAAGCGTCTTCTTCCTTCTTCTCGTCTTCTTTGTGAAAAGAGGCTCAAAAATACTTCGAGCTATTGCAACTTTGCAATTTCAAGTCATAAAATGAAATAATGAAACAATTTATTAATTAAGGACCTTTGAGACGCTCTGGACAGCTAAGATACACAAAAGAATCGTCTCTGCCTCTTTTTTTTTTCCTTTTGTGAAAAAGAGATTACTTGTTTCCAAGACAACGACATTTCCATACGAGAATGTAATTAACTTTTGTTAACAGAATGAATGAGGATGCCTCTATACGCAATAATATAAACATCAAGGTTTCTTTAAATTTTATCTGCTTAATCCAAGACTTTTTGTTCAAAACGCTGTTTAAAGTCAACTAACACCCTTTTAATTTTCTGTGTCATAAGCGTTCCTGTAACTAGAGTTTGATATTCTACCTTTTGAGCGTTGGTGAAGCAAACAATTTTATTTGCTTTACTGGGGTCAGGATTCATAACAGATCCTTCGTTGTTATTGAAATTGTCACTTACCAGGACTAATGAAGCTCTTACTTTGCCATTGCCTCCCGGGCTTCCCTTTTTGTTATCGTTTACCCTGTTAAAAAAAACACCACACTAAATTAAAGTTTCATCGACAAAGAGAAAAAAAGACGTTACAAAAATCAAATGTTTTATTTATCAAACACACTAGGAAGAATATTAAGGCTGCTTTTTCGTTTCACCTAACGGAAAATATTCTTGCTATGTTATTTAAATCAGTATTCAAGCTAACGTGTTACACGCATCCCCTGAAACTTGCGCTTAAAGCAATCAATTTAAAAAAGGGGTGAGATCGTTTTTTCAAGAAACGAAAAGGAAAGGAAGAAAAGGAGCTACAAGAAATAGGACGACAGTGCGCTATTAAGATAATCGTGACGACGTATACAGGTGTGTTTACTCAAGTCATGGTCAGCAATAAATTATCCTAACTTGGTTGTTATTTTATTACGGAAGTTGTCACTCCTGTTGATAAACTGACAACTGATGTTCGCTTCAGTCGGGAATCAGATCACGTTTAATGGATATATTTAAAGCTGTTCAGCATTGGCGGTATATTAGCTTCACCAACTGGATAGGAGTTTACAAAGGTCAAGTTCTACAATGGTGGGAACCCTCGAATCACGCAGTACAGCCTTAAAAGTTGTAGAGGCCGGAGCAATGATTGCATTAAATATCATTTCGCTTTTGGGCAACATCTTAGTTTGTTTGTCGGTTCACAGAAATAACAGGCTCCGCACCACAACAAATCTTTACATCATTGCATTGGCTGTAACTGACTTGATAGCTGCAACTCTCGTCATGCCTCCAGCTACTGGAGTTCTCATCACCGGCAGATGGCCCTTTGGTGAAACGGCTTGTCAAATACACGCTTATTTCAGTCTTTTTGCAGTATATGTTTCGCCTGTGACTATGGGTCTTACTGCACTTAATAGATACCTTCGAATATGCAAATCAGATCAACAATATAATCTGTACTTTTCGAAGAAAAAATCTCGTATTGTTCTAGGATTTTCTTGGACATTTGTTGCTCTCTACATTTTAATCCCTCGTCTTACTGGTCTTCAAGAATTCTATTTTGTGCCAAGCTATGCAGCTTGTTTAAACAGGCACTTGACTAATTTTGGAAAAAAGCTACACTACCTCGTTGTTCTCGGTTTGTTTTTTATCCTTCCACTAGCAGTAACAATATTCAGCTACAGAAAAGTTTTGAAAAAGATTCGGGAACACAATACTGGAACGGCTCGAAATCTTCGAGCAAACAACAACGAGACAGTCACAACAAACGAAATTCGAGTAAGCAAGTCCCTTTTTATTGTCGTCTTTGCCTTCATGTTGTGTTGGGTGCCCGCTTGGGTCATCGCCATCCTGACGAGATTGGTTTTTGGCAATAAAATTCCTCGCAATGTTCAGTTACTTTGCACTTTTTCCTTAAATATTTCGAGCGCTATTAATCCCTTTATTTATGCTGGAATGAATCCTGTGTTTAGAGGAGAGTTTCGAAGATTACTCGTATGTAGATTTGGAGGAGAGAAAGTCGACAATCTTGAATTAGAAGACCAACCACCTCGTGGGTAACTTAAGTAACCACAAAGAGACTGGGAAAGACAAGATGGAGAGCCTCGAGTGTCAAGCATGCAGTCAAGCGGGATGAAAAGATGCCAGTGACCGAAGCAATCATCTCTTTAGTTTAAGTTTCATTTAGTTCATGGCGGTCTTAAGTAAAACAGCCTGTCATCTTTGCTAACAGAAGCCATAAAAAACAATATGCCTCTGTCAGACATAGAATGAAAGTCATATCTTCTCAGTCCTCTGCAAGCAGTTCCGCTTTTGGCTGGGCAATGCCTTTAACACACATTTTTCACATTTAACGCACATTTTTCATTTTGTAGATTGATAACTGAAGTTATAATCAGTAGGCATTCGAATAAAGCATAGAGCAACGAGGTAAAAAAGTCAAGAAAAAACCTCTTGCAGGTCGTCAAGTTAACCTGTGAAGAAGTTGTAGAAAATGGTAAAAAATGGACTTCATTTTGGAACAGAATTAACTTGTCGAAGTTGACGGGGTAACTGCGCGTTAACGGCCAGTGTTATCGTTTTCCACAGGAGGCCTATCTATCACTTAAAAGGCGCATCTCAACCCATGTTTGAATGATTCGTCCACTAAAAACTCAATCTACGTCATACATTTATTATTAGACCTAAATACGCATAGTTAAACGAAGTTAAAGGGTAGTTTGTTGAATAACACATTGATCTCTTACTTTACCAGTTCTATTTTACAGTACAAAAAAATCTACACGTAATTATAATGAATTCTACAATATTATAGGCTTTTTAATTCTACTCATTTATTTAGCTCCTGAAAACCGCGAGTACAAATAACTCACAGTGGACTCATAAAAATATCCATCGATACTCGACACACTAAACTGTCCAATAAGATATATGACTGTATTTTTAGTTTTTCCTCCTTTATAACAAAACGTCTACAAATAATGAGATGAACATCACTCGCAAAAGGTAGCGTATATGTTTTGATATTCAGATACAAAACACTGAGTACATGATCTGTAGAAGTAAATCGGGTAAAACATGTTGAAATTATAGTGAAAGAATTATGCCATAAAGAAGTGTCCCGATACCGAGCGACCAATCTTATTACAGTAACATTAAAAAATGTCAAACAAACTTATCAAGATTTATCGCTTTTTTTCGCATGGTCAGCAGCTATGCATAATTCTTGGAACATAAGAAATTTTACACATGATAAAAGAGTTCAATCCCTACAGGTCTCCAAAGGATTTTTTTGTACACCAGTAATAGGAGGCAGCGTGGCCGAGAGGTCAGCACGTCGGACTCCCAATCCGGCGGTCCTCGGTTCGAGTCCCGCTCTGGCCACTTCCTGGATTTGTTCTCCGGCGTCCCGAGTTCAAATCCTCGGCCACGCTTGTAAATAGCCAACTGGTTGCCTCCTGCCAGTTAGGGTTTTTAATCTTGTTATGTTGTATTTGATCAATGAGTTATTTTTTTCTAAGTATTTATGAGTAGAGTGTCTGTAAACTAGCTGGATAAGCTAAGTGCACTTTCCATTGTAAACAAGCCTTTAAACCTCTTTTGGTGGCCGCTGCGAAGTCATCTGAAATCGATCTCTATACGCCGAATTCAAATTCGATTATATAAAAAAAATCAGTTAGATGGTTAGAAACAATCAAGCAGAGTTTAATCAAACATACTGAGAATTAATAGACACTAATGTGTTATACGCAGCAGTTGAAATTTGTGATTAAAGTTATCAGATTAAAAAACAGAAGTGACTTTTAACAAAGAGGCTAAATTGAGGGGAAGGATATGAAATAATCTACAGATTGTTCGTCAAATAATGAAGCAGGTGCGTTTAAAAAAGTCAAGGCGAGCTCTAAGTCATTACGTAATGGGAGACTTATCAATGTTCGCTTCGTCAGGAAACAGGAAATGCTCGCGAAGGGGAACTGTCTTTAATAGCGGTTATTAAATCCTCAAGCAATTATTTCACAAAATATTGTGTAATTTCTGTGCAACGTACTAGTTTATCGGTCTGTTTACGGAAATAAAAGGCTCTTCATTTATATCAGTTCTAATAACAGGGAGTTGGCCTTTTTGCGTCATTTTTCAAATAGCTTATTATAAACATAATCAAAACTATAACAAAATTCTTAAATCAGATTGGCTATCAACTGCCCTGATTTCAGCCTTAATAGGACAGTTAAATAGGACAGTACGCGTCATGCCTAAGTAATAGGCCATCTGCACTAAGAGGTCATGTGACATCGTTTTTATGAAAATGAAAGTTATATGATTAAACGATTACGGGGTCATATCTTAAACGAAATAATAGTGATTTGGTTTTTCAAACCCGCACCATTTCCTTAAAATGAGTAAGTTCGTAGCTGGTCACGTGACCAAATGTGATTGAACACAAATTTCGCACTTAAAGTTCAAGTGAAATGTTGAAAAGATGATGTAGTAACGTTTACAGCACCTCTGAGCGTGACTATCAAACGTTTAACAAGATATAAGCAAAAAGTAGTTTTGGCCGGCTTGTTGGAGGGCAAGAGTATGCCCTCCAACATGGCGGCCAATACAAATCATACTAATTGTTGAAAAATCAAAGTGCCATAAATTATCTCCCTTAAATGCGTTTCCTCTCAAATTTCGGGTGTAAGATAATTTTTATGTGCTCTGTCAATTTTTGGCATCAGCAAGATTCCAACTCATCGTTTAAAGGATACATTGGTCACGTGATCTCTTAGTGCAAGTGGCCTATTGGACAGTACGCGCCATCAAGCGCGGTTAAATGGCTTTATTTTTTTTCACTGCTAGCAAAAAAATGTCGGAATTTCTTGTGTTTTGATTTAAAAAAAGAGCCTAATATATCACAAATTTTTTTAACGTTATGATTAATTGGTAAAAGAACTTCGTGTCATCCAATTCGGTCTGTAACCATACTGGTGATTAAACAAATCGGACTCCCGTATGATTACAGACCGAATTGGACTCCACTCAGTCCTCTTACCATTACTTAGGGTCTCTTTAAATTGTACCTCCTAAATTTCAGGACGCTGTTAATGTACAATTACCCCTAAAACCCCTATGTCCACGACACTTAAAGCTACTTGTCTTTCCTATAACTCAGAGGTACCATATTTTCACCCCCTTTTAACATTAAACAAAGTTCCAATTTTAATTTAGAACAGAACCTTCGTGACAAACACCTCTTGCTGTGATCCTATCCCTCGGATTAATTAAATTTGATGAAAGTAGACGGTAAACAGATCTTATGAATTATGGAGTATTAACTTTAAATTGCAACCGCTAAATCGCTGGATGCCGTTAATATATCAACTACCCTTTAGAAAGTGTTTACAACCTGTATGTTCACGAAATTTTACGCTACTTGTCTTTCCTATAACTGGGGTGCAATATTTTGAACCCCTTTTTTGGCGTTAAACAAGGTTCCAATTTTCAACTTTATTTTCCTTACTGTAATTTAGAACGCCGGGAACTTTCGTGGCAAACACCAGATGCTATTGCCCGGTTTAATTAAATTTATTGAAAGTAGACGATAAACAGAACAAACACTACTTGATTTTTCTTAAACATCTAAATTTGTTTTCAGTTGGGAATCACCGTTACTGGATGTATTTAAAACTGTTCACCATTTGCAGTATATTGGTTTCGCCAACTGGATAGCAACTGGAATTGTGGTCATCAAAACATTTAAAAAGATTCTAGTTCAACAATGGTCGACACTCTCGAACCGCGGAGTACAGCCATAACAGTTGTAGAGGCCGGAGCAATGATTGCATTAAATATCATTTCGCTTTTGGGCAACGTCCTAGTTTGTTTGTCGGTTTACAGAAATAACAGGCTCCGCACCGACAACAAATCTGTACATGATTGCATTGGCTGTAACTGACTTGATAGTTGCTGCAACTCTCGTCATGCCTCCAGCGACTGGAGTTCTTATCACAGGTAGATGGCCTTTTGGTGAAACGGCTTGTCAAATATAATACACGCTTACTTCGGTGTTTTTGCGGTGTATGTTTCGCCTGTAACCATGGGTCTTACTGCCCTTAATAGATACACAAGAATATGCAAATCAGATCAGCAATATAATCTATTCTTTTCGAAGAAAAAATCTCTTATTTTTTTCTTGGATTTTCGTGGACCTTTGTTGCTCTCTGGATTTTAATCCCTCGTCTTACTGGTCTACAAGAATTCTATTTTGTGCCGAGCTATGCAGGTTGCTTAAACAGGCAGATGAGTGATCTAGGAAAAATACTACACTATATCGTCGTTCTTGGCTTGTTTTACGCACTTCCACTAGCAGTAACAGCTACAGAAAAGTTTTGAAAAAGATTCGGGAACACGATACTGGAACGGCTCGAAATCTTCGAACAAACAAGTCAAACAACAACGAGACAGTCGCAACAAAAGAAATTCGACTAAGCAAGTCTCTGTTTGTTGTCGTCTTTGCCTTCATGTTGTGTTGGCTACCCGTTTGGGTCATCACCATCCTGACGAGATTTTTGTTTGGCAATAAAATGCCGCGCAATGTTCAGTTACTTTGCACTTTTTCCTTAAATATTTCGAACGCTATTAATCCCTTCATTTATGCTGGAATGAATCCTGTGTTTAGAAGGGAGTTTCGAAGATTACTCGTATGTAGATTTGGCGGAGACAAAGTGGACAATCATCAATTAGAGGACCAACTACCTCGTCGGTAATTTCCCCGACGGCCCCCTGCATTTATGGTTCCAGCGATTCCGAGAACACCTGAGCGCAGACTTAGTAACAACAACGAGACTGCGGAAGAGGAGATGGAAAGCGTCCAGTTCCGAGCAATCAAGGATGAAAAGGCCGGATGAAAAGACGCCAGTGACTGATGCAATCATCTCTTTAGCTTAAGTTTCATTCAGTTTATGCTGGTTTTAAGTAAAACAGCCTTTCATCTTTGCTATTAAACAGACGCCATTTACCAATAGAACGCAATTTGCTTCAGTCAAACAGACAATGCCAAGTCATATTTTCTCAGTACAAATACTTCCGTCCTCTGCAGGCAGGTCCGCTTTTGGCTGGGTTATGCCTCTAAATAATTGATTATCTTTGTGCACTTATTGCTTTTTGTAGATTGCTAACTGAATTAAGTTATAATCTGCAGGCATTCGGAATAAAGCATAGAGCAACGAGGTGCAGGTCGTCAAGTTAACCTGTAAAGAAGTTTTAGAAAAAGGTAAAAAATGGACTTCATTTTGGAGCAGAAGTAACTGGTCGAAATTGACCGGCCGGGTGTAGCTGTGCATTAAGGGCCAGTGTTATCATTTCCTACATGAGGTCTATCTATCACTAGCCGGACCTAAACCCACGGCTGAATGTTTTCGTACACTAAAAACTCAATCTACGTCATATTATGAGACCTAAATATGCATAGTTAAACGAAGTTAGTTAACACATTTATATCTTACTTTATCAGTTCTATTTTACAACGCAATAAGATCTATACGTAATTGATTCTAAAATATTGTATGTTTGTAAATTATAGTCTGCAAGATAATTCCGTGTCGAATTCCTGACAGGACCCTATTGGGCCAACTAGCGATTCCGCTGAATTTACCTTTGTTAGGATTTTATGTCCTCTTGTCTTTGTTCAACTTATCCGATTCCATTTGTCCCAGTTTGACTTTTGTCCTGAATACGTTGAAAGGAAACCTAATAATGAAATATACATCATTGTAATTCAGCTTTCCTCAGTTAAGTACAATTAACAAGCAAAATGAGTACAAATATCTCACGGTGGACTAACAAAAATAAACTAAAATAATGAGCTCAACATCCCTCACTAAGGCTAGCGTATATGTTGTGGTTAATTTTTTATCTCAGGTAATTTTTGATTTTCTTTCGTTTTTGGGTATGGTGATGTATGCTAATGAAGCTGAAACAAAAGAAAAAGAAAAATTAACTGATGTAAAGAAAAACTTCAACATATATGTTTTGATATCCAGGTACAAAACACTGAATACATGATCTGCAGGGGTAAATCGGGTAAACATGTTGAAATTATAGTGAAAGAATTATAATATGAAGAGTGTCTCCATACCGAGTGACTCGAATCGAGTGAATCTTACTAACATTAACAAATGTTAAACAAACTTAAATTATCGTTTTCTTTCTCTTGGTCAGCAGTTATGCAAATTTCTTGGAACATAAGAAATTTTGGAGAAATTTTGCACACGAGAAAAGAGTTCTATCCCCACAGATCCCCACAGGATTCTTTTTGTACACCAATATGGCCGCCGTGGCGTGAAATCGATCTCTATACGCCGAATTCAAATTGTATTATAAAAAAACCAGTTACATGTTTAGAAACAATCAAGCAGTGTTTAATCAAACATACTGAAAATTGATAGAAAGAGTGCATTCATGCAATTTCACGGAAGATGAATATTCTTCTCTTGCAATTGTTAGTTTATCATTTCAATTCAAACTAATGTGTTATACGCAGCAATTGAAATTTGTCCCTAAAGTTATCGATTAAAAAACAGTAAATGACTTTTCAAAAAGAGGCTAAATTGAAGGGAAGGATACTACGTGTACGAGTGGAATAATCTTGATTGTTCGTCAGATGATGAAGCAGGCGCTTTTACTTAACGTTATCACTCAGAATGGGAGACTTCAGCAGGAAACACGAAATGTTCCCGACAGGAAAACTAGCTTTTTTTTGTTAATGGTGGTTATTAAATCCTAAAGCAATGATTGCACTGAATATTGTGTAATTTCTGTGCAACATACTAGTTCGTCCGTCTGTTTACAGTAATAACAGGCTCTTCATTTACATCATTGCAACTATCTTCATGCCTCTAGCTACTGGAGTATAGTAATAACAAGCAGTTGGCCTTTTAACGTCATTTTGTAAATAGACAATAATTATAAACATTAGAGTCTCTTTAAATTGTACCTGCTAAATCCCAGGACGATGTTAATGTACAACTACCCTTGAAAAGGTAGTACAACCTCTATGTTCATGCAGTTTTACTCTACTTTTCTTTTCTATAACTGGGGTGCCATATTTTCACCCCCTTTTTAGTATTGAACAAAGCTCAAATTTTAATTTAGAACAGAACCTTCGCGATCCTCTCCCTCGGATTAATTAAATTTGTTGAACGTAGACGGTAAACTGATCTTATGAAGTCTTAACTTTTCAATGGCGCCTAAACTTTCTCCCCTCCATTGTCACTTTTGCAAATGAGACGACCACGTACAAGTTAAGATTCATTAATGTAAAACAAATTTAGATGTTTAGAAAAAACTAAGCAGTGTTTTATGATTAAACATAATAAAACCGAACCGAAATATATTCTCTGTTAAGTTAGTCGATCATTGAAATTAAAACTAATGTGTTCTACGCAGCCGTCAAAACTTACTCTTAAAATAATCCGACTGAGAGACTGCTAAGCTACTTTAGAAAAAGACAAACAATGAACATAAAAGAAAAAAAAAAGTCGGAAAAGATGGGATGATAGTGCGCTTGTAGAATAAACGTCGCTAATAGGTAATATCATGAAGCAGGTGTGTTAACAAAATTCATATGAAGAAATGAATTATTCTTCTCCATGTTTATTTTATTATGAAAGTTGTCACTTCTGATGGGAAAACAACGTGATATTAATTACTCTTCCTTTTGGAAATCACTTTTAACGGTGGTATTGAAAGCTTTTCACCATTTGCATTGGGATTACCAAAAGATAGACTTTATCGCCATCTCTTTCGGCAGCCGTTTAAATTCTGGTCATTCAAAACGTTTACAAAGATCAAGTTCAAGAATGGTTGGCACTCTCGAATCTCGCAGTACAGCCATAAAAGTTGTAGAAGCTGGAGCAATGATGGCATTAAATATTACGTCGCTTTTAGGCAACATCCTAGTTTGTTTGTCGGTTTACAGAAATAACAGGCTCCGTACCACAACAAATCTGTACATCATTGCATTGGCTGTAACTGACTTGATAGCTGCAACTCTCGTCATGCCTCCAGCGACTGGAGTTCTTATCACAGGAAGATGGCCTTTTGGTGAAACGGCTTGTCAAATACACGCTTATTTCAGTCTTTTTGCAGTGTATGTTTCGCCTGTAACCATGGGTCTTACTGCACTTAACAGATACACAAGAATATGCAAATCCGATCAACAATATAATCTGTACTTTTCGAAGAAAAAATCTCGTGGTTTTCTCGTATCTACCTGGACATTTGTTGCTCTCTACATTTTAATACCACGTGTGACTGGTCTGCAAGATTTTCATTTTGTGCCAAGCTATGCAGCTTGTTTGAACAGACACTTGTCAACGAGTAATTTTGGAAAAATTGTTCACTACTTTGTCGTTCTCGGCTTGTTTTTCGCACTTCCGCTAGCAGTAACAATATTCAGCTACAGAAAAGTGTTAAAAAAGATTCGGGAACACAATACTGGAACTGTGCAAAGTCTACGAATGAACAACAACAAGACAGTCACCTCGAACGAGATTCGACTAAGCAAGTCCCTTTTTGTTGTCGTCTTTGCCTTTATGTTGTGTTGGGTACCCGCTTGGGTCATCACCATCCTGACGAGATTGGTTTTTGGGAATAAAATGCCGCGCAATGTTCAGTTACTTTGCACATTTTTCTTAAATATTTCCAACGCCATTAATCCTTTTATTTATGCAGGAATGAACCCGGTATTTAGAAGAGAGTATCGAAAATTACTTGGATGTAAATTTGGAGTGAGAATCGAGAGTAGTTTAAGTCCACAATCATCAAGTAGAAGACCAGCCACTTCATGGATAAGCAGTAACCACAACAAAACTGGGGATGAGCAGATGGAAAGTCTTGATTGTTGAGGATGATCATGAGAATACTGAGAATCTAATCTCTATATATTGAGTTTATTCAGCTTATTATAGCCTAGACAGCGCGGCAACTCTCTAGACGCCATATGTAAACCCTAATCTGTTTCTGAGAAACAGAGAAAATATTTTCCGCAATGAAAATGATATTTGTCGCCTCTGTACAGATACGTTCGTCCGTTACAGGTGGTTCACTTTTGCCGGTATGCTTAAGAACTCTTTACATATCAGTAAGTTTTTTGAAAGACGTTGTAGATTGATTACTTTATATATAATCAGCAGGTATTCGAGTGAACGAAGAGAATCGAAGGGAGAAATACCAACTGGGAACTTCAAAGAAGGGGCGTAGCTACAAAGTTTCCAGAGGTACACACAGTTTTCCACAGGTGACGCAAACTCGCAAGTGATAATAGTTGTTGCGTAACAGGAATATTATAAGGGTTTGTGGGTGGATTTTAGCGATCGTTGCATCGAATATTGTTCTCTAATCGCTTCTACAGTGAATCGAGAACAAATTATTTTCACTCTAATGTACAGCAAGCAGACATGTACAAAGTTAGGAATTGGCATCTCGTTTGTTTGATAGCAAGACTACAATAAAGCGGGCGGAAAAACATTTGGTTTAAATGACCTAAAATTACAAATAAAAACACTACAAATCATAATAGGGCGTTTTCACTCAAGTGGTCAGCATCTATGCAAATTTATTGAAACAAGAGAAAGCGTTTACAAAAGAAAAGAGTTCAACTCCCACAGGATTGGTTTGGAACACCAATATGGCCGCCTTTTCATTGGTTTGGAACGCCGATATGTCTGCCGTGGCTTCATGTGAAAACACTCTATACAAAGGCTGATAATCTCTTGAATACATCGAAAGCGGACTTGATTCGCCTTCTGCACATCTCCTATAATACCCCTTGTTTGCCCCCCAAAACTTTGCATAACCTTTTTTTTTTTTAATATCTCCGTGGTATTTCAGCCGTCCCAAGAGAAATTGAAGACAATGCTTGCGTAGATTTTTTTTTTTTTTTTTTTTGGGGGGCAAGCAAGATGCATTATAGGAGTTTTACAAATGGCGAAAAAAGTAAAATACAACCGCATCGGCTGCACACTAAACAGAAGTACCGTATGTAAAAGAATTAAATGCGTATTCCAGATCATTCTAAAGGAAAAAAAGCTATTGCGGGGGAAGATTCGAAAAACTCTAGACAATCGACTTAACGTCATCACACAAAGGGAAAAAACGACTTCATGAAGAAAAGTTAACTAAGACGACAAGGGCAAATTAACGAGTATAAAGAAAAGCGTGAAGCACAAAACGCAGTTGAGAGAGATGTCGTCCAGGGACCTTGTCCCGCGATCGCCCCATGTAAGGAAATACAAGAGAGTTTTGGATTCTGGATTCAAAGTCGTGGATTTCGGATTCCAACTACTGGATTCCAGTCTTTGTCAATGGAACTTGGATTCTGGATTCCAATCGTTAGTGGGATTCTGCACTCCTTGAGCTGGAAAAACGGATTCCAAAGCCCAGCATTCCGCATTCCACGAGCAAAATTTTCCCGGATTCCCTTTCATGGGCTGACAACGTGTGAATCCCAGACACAAGAAAATACATTTGCTTCGCTTCTAGGCCATATCCTACGTTTGATGTCGGTTTAATAAATGTCAGTTTACTTATTTACACCGAGTCAGATAAAAAATAATTACAACGACCGAAAGAAAATGGAAATTTTTGATAGAATCAACCAAGAAGAGAGTAAAATTTATGGGTCGATCTATACGTCTACATTGAGTTAAAAGTTCCATTTTGGGTGCAGCCACTTGAGAAAATTTGAGAAATGCTCCATCTTCGGCTTATAAGTTGTTTTCCTTCATTTAACTTTGAAAATATTCAGGTTATGATCTATGACCTGTCTCAATCTGTCCTTAGATATTTTGTCTGAATAATAAAATTAACTTTTTCTTTACTTTTGCTCTTGCTTATAAGAGCATATTAGAGGAAAATTGTACAAAATCACAGCTTTCGCTTATTTATAACTGAACAACAAACAAACCTATGAATGAAGCCGTTACCGTGACCGCGCTAAGAACCAATCAGATCGCCGCATTCGTTACCGTGTCCTCTTGGAAAAAAGTATTCCCCTTATTAGAGTCAGGATTTATGAACCTTGGTACACACCTAGGCTAAATTAACAGAAGTACCGCAAGAATATATTCATTCAGGTTGTTACTTGACAGCACTAATGAAGGCCAACCTTCAATCCGAGTCCTAAAAAGAGACGACCACATGGAATTTAAGTTAAATTGACAGATAACAGACTTAGATGTTTAGAAACAATCAAGTAGTGTTTAAAAGGCTGGCCTTAATTTCACAGAACTGAAATATTCTCGGCTAAGCTGGTCGATTTTTGCGTTCGACGTCAGGAGAACGCAGCATAAACTCAACGCTCAAGAAGCCAGAGCGCGAGCATTTAAATTTGGATATCATTCTTAGGAATTCAACTCCAGAAGAGTTCGCCTTCAGTTCACAAATTAATTTAGTTGGGATAATAGCGATAGAACGCGAATTCACTTTTTGGGAGACGTTTTTGCTGTTGTCGATGTCCTTGGGTCTTTTCCCAGAGCCCGTCGTGTCTTTAGGTCGCGTGGAGAGAAGCATGTTTAGAAATTCTACAGGGGATATTGAGAAGGCACAATTCGGATAATTTAAAGTTCAAACGACAACGGCAATCAGCTAGACCTACTGTTAGTTTTGCAGAACTAAGGCAAGTAATCGGCAAGCGATCGAAAAATTGATTGTGAATACTCACTTTTTTATTGGCGAGTTGCGTATTTGAAAGCAACTGTGGGGAAAACCGTGTCAGTATGGTTTATAAATGCACGTTTTGTTAAAAGAAAAATTTCATTACACAGAGTAAAAGACTAGATCACCACCCGTCTGTTCAGCCGTAAGAGCTATTTAAAATTCCAAAAATCAGCTGCGTTGTGTTCAGTATTGAAGATACTGCTGATACTTCGATCTTGATAAAGAGAGAACGTACCTCTCACAAACAAAGCTGTGTTTTGTATGTGCGGTTTACCTGGGGTTATCCCTGAGAAGTATCGTTTTTGTCTTTTGGATTACTTGTAGGAGGAGCATTACGGGATCTGCCTCATTAAGTCTTTGGCGAGGGGTTATTTCTGGTGGCCGGGATTGGATGCCGCTATTGTTGAGAAGGTTCGGCTTTGTCATGTTTATACTGCCGTGGGTAAGTAACCTCCGGGGGCACCATTATCTACCCTTGGAAATGGCCTGCTAAGCAAAGGGAGTGTATGCGCATTGATTTCTTTGAGAACGGCAAGTTGGGTTTCTTGATTTTTGTTGCTGCCTATTCTATGTGATTGGAGGTAGGTGGAGGTAATCCCCATGAGTTCTATGACCAGCTTGACAACCACTGAGGTTTTTTTACGCATGTTGTTTGCACTCTACGGAATACCAGCTTATTATAGCCTAGACAGCGCGGCAACTCTCTAGACGCCATATGTAAACCCTAATCTGTTTCTGAGAAACAGAGAAAATATTTTCCGCAATGAAAATGATATTTGTCGCCTCTGTACAGATACGTTCGTCCGTTACAGGTGGTTCACTTTTGCCGGTATGCTTAAGAACTCTTTACATATCAGTAAGTTTTTTGAAAGACGTTGTAGATTGATTACTTTATATATAATCAGCAGGTATTCGAGTGAACGAAGAGAATCGAAGGGAGAAATACCAACTGGGAACTTCAAAGAAGGGGCGTAGCTACAAAGTTTCCAGAGGTACACACAGTTTTCCACAGGTGACGCAAACTCGCAAGTGATAATAGTTGTTGCGTAACAGGAATATTATAAGGGTTTGTGGGTGGATTTTAGCGATCGTTGCATCGAATATTGTTCTCTAATCGCTTCTACAGTGAATCGAGAACAAATTATTTTCACTCTAATGTACAGCAAGCAGACATGTACAAAGTTAGGAATTGGCATCTCGTTTGTTTGATAGCAAGACTACAATAAAGCGGGCGGAAAAACATTTGGTTTAAATGACCTAAAATTACAAATAAAAACACTACAAATCATAATAGGGCGTTTTCACTCAAGTGGTCAGCATCTATGCAAATTTATTGAAACAAGAGAAAGCGTTTACAAAAGAAAAGAGTTCAACTCCCACAGGATTGGTTTGGAACACCAATATGGCCGCCTTTTCATTGGTTTGGAACGCCGATATGTCTGCCGTGGCTTCATGTGAAAACACTCTATACAAAGGCTGATAATCTCTTGAATACATCGAAAGCGGACTTGATTCGCCTTCTGCACATCTCCTATAATACCCCTTGTTTGCCCCCCAAAACTTTGCATAACCTTTTTTTTTTTTTTTTTTTTAATATCTCCGTGGTATTTCAGCCGTCCCAAGAGAAATTGAAGACAATGCTTGCGTAGATTTTTTTTTTTTTTGGGGGCAAGCAAGATGCATTATAGGAGTTTTACAAATGGCGAAAAAAGTAAAATACAACCGCATCGGCTGCACACTAAACAGAAGTACCGTATGTAAAAAGAATTAAATGCGTATTCCAGATCATTCTAAAGGAAAAAAAGCTATTGCGGGGGAAGATTCGAAAAACTCTAGACAATCGACTTAACGTCATCACACAAAGGGAAAAAACGACTTCATGAAGAAAAGTTAACTAAGACGACAAGGGCAAATTAACGAGTATAAAGAAAAGCGTGAAGCACAAAACGCAGTTGAGAGAGATGTCGTCCAGGGACCTTGTCCCGCGATCGCCCCATGTAAGGAAATACAAGAGAGTTTTGGATTCTGGATTCAAAGTCGTGGATTTCGGATTCCAACTACTGGATTCCAGTCTTTGTCAATGGAACTTGGATTCTGGATTCCAATCGTTAGTGGGATTCTGCACTCCTTGAGCTGGAAAAACGGATTCCAAAGCCCAGCATTCCGCATTCCACGAGCAAAATTTTCC